TGAGGAAAAGGGAAAGGGAAAATCTACTAGGAGACATTAAAGTGAAAGGACCTATTTCTATCACGTGTCCAAGTGTGCTTCCACTTGCTGCACTGTTTGTGACCTTAGACATACTAATGGCCACAATTCCAGATTTTCGTATCCAAATGCCAGGTCTGAATTGGCATCTTTAATTTCTACTGGAGTTCAGTTAGAGAACCCATTCAGTTAGAGTTCTACTGGGGTCTTTCAGGACCCATTCTACTGCTGCCAGACATTTGCCTTCTTCCTTTAACTCAGTTATTCTCTCCAGCAGCAAAAGCTAACGGTCCTTGTCTAGTATGCTCCAAGCTCAAGAGTAAAGACAAATCTAAACAGGGCAAATGGAAGACATGTCACTGCTTGAGAACAGGAATTGTTACAGTATGATTAAAGGCTGTGGAATCAAGCTTCTTGCTTAAATTCTGGTCACTGGCTGAGTAACTTGAGCAAGTGACTGAGCACCTCTGTCATTGGGACCTTTAGCTGTGAGATAGAGGCAATGACAACAGCACTTTATAGTTATTACGAAAATCAGATTTGCTAATACACGTAGGAAGCACACAGGCCAGCCTCTAGGAAGCCCTTCTTCAATGTAAAAACTGAGCCAGTTGTGAAGGCAAAGTACACAGTGACATTCTATCTAGAAAACACACACACACACACACACACACACAAATAAAATGCAAAAACTTACTTGCATACATTGTCTCATGCCACTACTCTCCACAAGTATTTCATTTACTTATCATTCAGTCATAAAAGTGAACAATTTATTTAACTAACTCTTAAAACAAATTTATAGACAGATTGCTTCATGCTGTTTAATGTATGTCAGCTATTAATTTCTTGTTAACTCCCAAATTCTTATAATCTTTTAATAAAATTACATTAAAATATACACATTTATCCAGAGGAATTCTTCAGTTCTGTCATCCAGATTCATTGTATATCTGTCTACAAAACCAAATTTTCTTAAAATATGTCCTTAATATTTTACATTCATATAGAAAAATCTATATTTTCTATTATATTACCTTAATTCTTAGCTATTTCACAATTTTGTCTTTCATGATTAGATAAAATATAACCTTATCCCAGCAGGAAAAAAATGAAACCTTATTTCTTACTAAATGAAAATATTTAGCATTTGCTTTTTCATAGAGATGTCAAAAAAATTTACAGCAAATATAAAACATTTTCTATATACTTAGCTTTAGAAAAAAACGTCAAGCTACATTGTGAATTTAAAGAAATTTTTATCTATAAACATTTTAATCAAATGTCTTCTCCAATGAATACAATTTTTAGTTTAGAATGTAAGTATATCTTTAAGTAACAGGATATTTTAATAAAAAAAATGTGAAACGAAATACTTGTTTCACTTCCTTTGCATAAGCTTATTGGTCAAACCATCTCATCCTAAACAGAAAGGCATAAAAAAAAAAACTTCACAGTTAATTGTCATACTTAAAATTGCAGAAATTAAACACTTCTGCAGTTTTTACTTCCTTTCTGCGTGATTGCTCATTAGCAGTCTCATGCTTTAATAATTATCCTGCCTGTTTGTTTACTGTTTATTTGCATTTCTGTCTATTATTTTCCATACTCATACATCAGCTTCAGTTCAGCCTATTCATCACAGACATTAATTTCCAATCATTGAGTCAATTCATTCATTCATTCATTCACCCCATGAGCAGAAATAGAAATTTTTAAAGAGCAAATAAAAGTATTCTTAAAATATAGCAACAAAAATAAAAGTTCAGAAATGCTGTTTATGGAAAAGGATTTTGGCGACAATGTGTTTATCTTCTGGATGAGGAAAGAAAACACAGAGAAGCAAAGAAATTAAGGTATATTGAGATTAGACAACTTCAGTGACCCCGGTGCATAAAAGAAGAGAATGCGCTGAGTGAAGCTGGGTGGAAGGCATACTAATAGAAAAAGAACAACACAGGGAGGTCTCAGATGAGGAAGAAGCATGAGCACAGAGCTGAATAACATGAAAAAGCAGAAGGAAGCACATTGCAGGTAAACAGAATAAATACAAAGATTCAGAGGTGATAAATTTTAGTATATAACCACATAGAATTTTGGAATCCTTATATCTGAAAGTTACTTAACTCAATAATCACAGTTAATAACATAATATTAGATTTATGATTTAAGGGTTGAAGACCAGCCAACGGCCATGAGAAACTGGCCATGTGATAAAATACATCAAATTTACTGTGAGAAGCAACAGTGGGGACAGTGAACATGGAAATGAATTTGAGGTGTAAAGTTAGGAAGGCAAAGCATGCTATAAGGCCAGATCACACAGGCAAGCACTTTAAAAATTTATTGTGCATCTGATTCATCTGGGATCTTGTTAAAATGCAAACACCAATTCAGAAGTTCTGGGGCTGGGCCAAAGATTTACAACTCTTAACGGGATTCCAGAGAATGCTATCCATTATTCCAAAGGCCAGTCTTTGACTAGAAAGTGTCTGAGCTGTGAAAAGGAGGTTGAGGATTGTTCTTTCTTTTCCTTTCTTTCTTTCTTTCTTTCTTTCTTTCTTTCTTTCTTTCTTTCTTTCTTTTCTTTTCTTTTCTTTTTTTTTTGTTTGTTTTTTTTGTAAATCCAAATGAAAGCCATAAAAGGACCTTGGGTTGGCATGACCATAAATAAATATACATATTCAAAGGCTCTTGCATACTGTGCTATAAATAATTCTCCTACAGAAAATGCATGGGAGAAAGAAGTCAGTGAGTAGGTTTCCTTTAGCCAGCAGTTAAAGTGGTGTGGAAGAGCTTGTGTCAGTGACTTTTTGACACTTTGGCAAGATAGCTGAGCAAACAATTTAAGAAAAGAAAGACTGTTTGGGGCTCAGAGTTTGAGGAGTTGCAGTCTGTGGTCATTTTTGCTCCATCTGCGTAAATGCGTACCTATGGTGAGAGACAAATTCCTGATGAGGAACATGAGCAAAGCAGACAGGCTCACCCCACATTAGGAAAGGATTGGGTCACAGACTACATATGCTCTTTAAAGGCAGGATCTCTGTGATATACTTCCTCCAAGTTGGCTCAGCCTCCTGTTTCTTATTGTCTCCCAGAATCATTATCAAGTTAAGAATCTGCCAATGCATAAGTCCATTGACTATGTTCCTGATGTCATGAGCCAATCGTGTCTTAGTAACTGATTGCACTAGCTGAGAAGCAAGCCTGCCACATAAAAGAACTTTGGAGAAACAGTTCTTATCCAAACCAGATCAGAGCTCATGAGACACAGTCACATTTGAAAAGTATATTTAGGGCAGGTTAAATTAAATATTGAACAAGATGTAGATGTAAAAAAAAAAAGTAGTGATGACAAGACACTTTCATGAGGAGACTCCATTTGTCATAAAAGTGAAAAGAATTTAAAAAGGAATGTGGAGAACATAATTGAAATTAGGAATTATGAGCTTATCATAAGAAATAATATGTATGAGCTTATCATATGAAAAATCAAACTGAAATATTAAGCATAAATTGGATATATACCAAGTGTTTAAGGAAGAGAATATCCAGTGCAGATGGAATTTTGGAGTCACTATATTGAAAGCTACTTGACTGAATGATAATAGCTAATAATTTAATATTAGATTTATGATTTAAATGTCGAAGAAACACCATCCAAGTGGAGAAGGCTAAAAGAATATTGGCCGTTGGAAATCCATATGAAGAACTTTATGTTGTAGTATAGCCACCAAGCCAGAAACTGGCAAAAAGAGCAAGCCAATACCCTTTATCAAATGAGGTGAACCTGAAAAATAATGGCTGGATGCAGCATGTTGTGTTATCACCCATTTGACAAAGGTGGTCCTATTAACAGGAAGTGAAGAGGAGGCAAGAAGGTAGATATAAAGATAGATAACCCTTTCAGGATTTTTCTCCACAGAGAGGATTAGAGAAATGGGTCACTCTTGAAATTTTTATTTCGAGTTAGAGGACACCAAGTCATGTTTTTGTGTTTATATGAATAAAGGACAAGAGAAGATACTTGTGATGGAGGGGAAGGTGATGCGGAGAGAAGAAAGTGATAAAAAGAAGCAGACATAAGTAGAATCTCTTATAATCAAATAGATGTGGTGGGAAGATGAAATGATTATCTAGGTGCTTACAGCTTTAAATAAAATAGGATCAAAACAACGGATAGTAGAGAAAGAAAGATTAGAGAGTGGAGCAGTAAAGTGCTGGTGACATTTGGTCATCTCAGTGCAAAAACAAATCTCAAACAAAAATGTAGTGCCGGATTAAAGGGCAGTGTGTTTAGGAACGAGCTCAAAAACATCAGTAGTGTTAATACATCATAGGTGAAATTTCCTGTAGGAACACTTATCTGTTTACAGAGAATATAGCAAATTTACTTGGGACTATGCAGGGGAAAGCTGTGGTAGTAACAGACCATAGCATTTAGACCAGTTGAGAGGGAAGTGAGACCCTAAAAATGTAGTAAGTCAATACTTTATCTAAACAAGACCTAACAACAGTTGTTAAGGTAAATGAAAGTGTTTGTTTGACTCTGGGTAGATAAAACCCCGAACTCTCCAAAGGTTCTGAACTGTGTAACTTTTAACCACATGCAGAGTCATGAAAGTTTTTCAAAAACATTTATTATAGTAAATGTTAAGCATAATATGATATGTTACTTGAAATTTCTCAGAAACATTTCTATTGAGAAAAAAAGAAAACAACATCGAACAGCACTGAGGCTATATCTCTTAATATTTCAAAATATTTTAAGTGTTTTAATGCTCCAAGCTGAAAAATCAAAACATCGCCCACACCAAACAGGCCATTAGAGCACTATCTTTGAGTGCTGTTTTGTCTCTCTGCTTAATATTCTTTCAACAGCAATAAAACGGAAGTTATCTCACTGAATTTGAGTACTAATGCATTTCCAGAAAAATCTGAATGGCAAACAAGTAGGATCTTGCAAAGCCACATAAAGCATTTTAGAAAACTGTCAGAAGAGCAAAGAGCCCATAAAGTAAGGCACAGGGGTAAGCAACAAGAAGCTGTTGTCCTTCCATGGCCAAGGCTGAAATGAAGATCTTAGAAGCTGAGAGACTGCACCACATGATGATGAACAGGGCTGACACAGTTCCAATGGTACCCCTGTAGCAGAAACAAAGATGAGAGTTACCTTATGCCTGGAGGAAAGGGGGGAGACTCAGACAGAGCTGCCTCTGAAATACAAGTGGTACATCTGTACATCAGTCTCCATTTGCAAAGGAGAACGATTATCTGAATAAGCTTACAAGGGCCCAGCCAGTCAGAAAATATTTCACTAAAATCCACCATTTATGACTGATATTTTTCTATTTTGTTAAATCTAGAACAAGCAAAAAAGTAAAGTAAAGCAGAAATCATTGTTGTAATCAGTCTCATTTATCAACATTCTCATCTTATTGCCATTTTATATAATGTATTTCTAAATTGTCTGTTTAAAGGTTTTGGATTTTAGCAAAGTCTATTTACTAAACATTTGGTTGCCAGCTATAGCTGGAAGTGGTAGAGCTAACTTTGAGGGGTAGAATCTAGGGGAAGGAAGTTTGGCCAATCAACCACTGACTCACATTCTCTTTCCTCCAGAGTACCAAGGAGAACAGTCTCTTCTAAAACAGTTTCCTTGTCACCATCTCTCCTAAAGAAAGATAATGTCCATGGCCCAAAACTAAGAGCCATAATAAATATCTCCTTTTAATAAGATTATTTTTTCAGGTATTTTTTCATGGTAGTGAGAAACTAGCACACTGTTCCCTTTATAATTTTAGGATGAAAAAAAATATAATTGTCTAGTGGTTTTCCAAATCTAAATTATATGAATTGTCTTCTCTTTGTTCTCAATGCCCAAGTCATTTCAGATATTCTAAATACCAAAGTCACTGAAAATATCCTTTGAATTTTAAAATGGTACATCATAGTATTATTATTTTGCAAAACCCAACAGACAAAGTTGTTGAACCAAATTACACTAACATGTCAAATTTCTGTGTCGCACAGCCTTGTAAACAAAACAACTTGCTAGAGTAAATGGTTATACAAATGGTAATATTTTTCTGTGGATAAAACTCAGTAAGTATAACTTGTTCTATTTATGCTTTCATGCTGTCCATTTCCTGTCATATTCTTTTGTTAAATCTGTGTACTCACTGATAAATCAATATTTGGCCCCACTAATTCTCAAGAATTGTATAATAAAAAAAATGATACCATATTCAAACAGAATGAGCATGCTTAAATCACTCAGTAATTTCATAAGAATAACTATTAGTGATAGCAAAATATCATAAGCCTTTGCTTCTTTAATCTGATTATCCTTGTGCCAATAAACTCTCTGTATGACAGCATTCCTTCGAATGTAGTATTAATCACCTCAGACCTGCATCATCCAGAAGGAAAATGCAAGTCACATCCCCTTTTGAGTTGAAAGAAGGAACACAAGGGCACGTTTATTTCCAAGGTCTTTGTGAACAAGGCAGGTAACTGTGCAGCTGCTTGCTTGCTGTCACTGAGTACTACGGTTATGCATGAGCCTTGGGGAAGAGCTGTGGGGAAAACATCTATGGTATCTTTATGAATAGTTTAGAATTGCAAATGCCAGCTGCCTAAGTGAAGGAAGAAAAAAATGAAAATTGTATTGACTAAGCATGTATGCCACCAAGTTCTCCAGAATTAATGTCCTCATCGGTGTTCCTGGGAATTCTCTACTGAGAGGAGTCCAGCTGAGAAAGAACAGTTGCTTCTAGCCTAGAAGGCAGATGCATGGGCACTGGAGTAATTTGTCAGAATTCAGCGGGCATTTACTCTTCCAAAATCAAATAAGTGAATTTTCTGTAGTTGTTATATCACCCATGCCAATAGTTTAGATCGAAGAATGTGACAACTTAGAAGTACGTTTTAAATATTACATGGTTAGATTTATTTTTTTAAACTTAGTTAAATAGAAACAGCACCCTAGCCAAATTGACCTGCTTTTTTTTTTTTTCTGAGTCTGTGTGTAGATTTTAATAAGCGTGAGTCCCCCAGTTCCACCAGCAAAATGTTAGGAAACCTTCATGATTGTCCTGGCCTGGCAGGCACGGGGAAAGATTGTGCATGTGGGGTCAGTTAGTACAGACACTTACTGCAGTGAACAAAAGACTGCACAGCTGGACAAGATGACCATGGGGAGCAAGCAGTATCCCAGCACACTGGCCACACAGCCGTAGGACACCCCTGAGGAGCTCATCAAGTTCAGCAAGGCATGAATCCCAAGGCAGCCAATGGCACTCATACCATATACGTAACCAAACTGGACTTTCCCTGCCTGAAACAATGCAAAGTAAGCACTTAGAAATATCAACAAGCATGAGGGGGAAAAAAAAACCCAAGAGAATAACAGTAATACAGAGGGCATTTGAGTCTACTCGGTGCTGCTGAATATCGTGCTAGGTACTATCACTCGGGAACTGAGAATTCTGAGTAAGTATAATAAAACAGTCGGTGAGATGAATTACAGTCTCCAAAACAAGCACCCTGGATATATATATAGTTTGGGACAGGCTAGGAATTCTAGAGAAAAATATTGCTAGAATGAGTCCTCCTCCTTCTTCTCCTCTTCTTTTTCCTCCTCCTCCTCCTCCTCCTCCTCCTCCTCCTCCTCCTCCTCCTCCTCCTCCTCCTCCTCCTCTTCCTCCTCCTCCTTCTAATTCTTCTCCTTCTTCTGTTCTTGTTGCTGTTGGTTGGTTGGTTTGGTATGGTTTCTTGGCTTTTCAAGACAGTGTTTCTATATTTTATCTCCTTCTGTCCTGGAACTCAGTCTGTAGACCAGGCTGGCATGGAACTCACAGAGATCCACCTATCTCTGCCTCCTGAGTGCTTGAATTAAAGTTGTGCACCACCACCCTCTGGCAGATGATTTCTTTTTAAAACTATTCATTGTCTTTAGAGAGTGACAGGAGCGAATCATATCTTTTTGCCCCATATTTACTGACTAGCTGAAAGACTGAGCAGAAGACAAAATATCTAGTATACTCTTAGAAACTGACAAGTAGAATCAGTAATTCTGCAATTTTAAGATTTTGTTGCAAATCTTAACAGAGTTAGAGTTTTAATATTGAAATAGAGGATAAATTATCTGAGTTTTCACCTCATATGTCTAGGATCCTCCCTAGACCATTTACCTTTGTTAGTATATCATGATCTGAAGTATTTAGAGTTCATCTAATCAATTACTTAAAAAAAAAAAAAAGCTTCTTGTATTTCAGGAGATCAAGTCCCAGGCCGTGTAGATATTGAGTAAATGACCTACCACTGAGCTACATCCTAAGCCTTGTTTTGTTTTGTTTTGTTTTATTTTTTCTTATGAGACAGGATCTTGTTAAACAATTCTTGCTGGTCAATTCAAGTATCTCATACTTCCATTTCCTGAGTGTTAGAATTACAGCGATGTCGCACGATCAGCAGCCCTAACTGTACTTTCGGACTGCTTAGGAATGTCGCTTTTCAGACCATACTAAGAGCCCTGCTAGAACAGTTAAGGGAAGAATATCTTTAAATTATATATTGCTATTGGGTAGTGAAAAACACTGAAACTGCTGCAGTTTGTGTGTTTCCTTAATGTCAGTGTGCTAAGAACTCAGATGCCTGTAGTGCTTTGGGTGGTGTTGTAAACTTTAAGACCTGGGATCAAGGAGGGAGAAGGGAAATCACTAGGGGCAAGTCACTGTGGACTATAATGGGACCCCAGGCCCTTCTTGTTTCTTTCTTTTACTTCTTGGCTGCCGTGAGGTAAGTAAGCACACTCCTAGAGGTGACTGTGAATCTTACATAGCCAGAAGTACTAAATGAGTTTGAATTTTGTTTCTGAATTCAGTATTACTCTTTCTAATATAATGGATGTAATAGCCTATGAAATGAACTTTTAATTATAGAGGCGGAGTAGATCAGAGTTGACTTGGCAGCAAATAAATTCAGACTGAAATCTGATTTCAGCTATTTTCCCATTGGAGTTTTTGGAGTGCCGGTTGTTGGTGTTGCTGAAGTTATCATAGCTAATGGTACAATATATGAAATACTTGTATAAAATATTCATGATATATATTTCATATATATATATCATGAATGTTGAAAATACAAGAAACTTGAATTTCTTGTAAAACTTGTAAAAATAAAAGGTAAACCCTTTTTGTCTTGAAGTGAAGAAATGAAGGAATAAAAATGTGCAGACCACATTTTAAGATCACAGCTATTGGGAGTGAGAGGCAGAATTGATTTTATCACCTCTAGTTAAGATTTCTTCATTGGTAATTATTTGTATTCGAAACACAAGAGAAGATATTTAAGTAACTCCTACTACCAGTATGTATCCACCAGTGATCTTGATAATGAAACACTGTCCTTTAAGGGATGGAAATCATACTGTATTCCACAGAAAACCGGACAGTTGTATTACAAATGACTTGCAAGGGAAGGATGAGTTAATATATTAAATTGATTGTTTCTGATTATTTGATTAATTGGCACAGCCTTGCACAGCATCTTAATCAAGATCACCATGTTACTGTGAAAAAGAGAAGAAGGGAGCTCTAAGACTAAGCACGAACTCTGGTTGACAGGGTTTGGTTAGAGGGTATTTGCATTTTATTTACTACAGGGAAGGACCTTACTATCACTATACTGCTATATTGGATGAAAAGAATGTGACCATTGGCCACTCAGAAACTAATTATTATTATATATTACTCTGTATCCTGGCTGGCTAGTATTATAAATTTAACAAAGGGGAAGGAAACATGCATGTACTCACATGTACTTTTTAAACCACATGTGAAAGTTATAACTGCATTGGAGGAGACTGCTTTTGTACGGGGAGGGGTTGCTGTTCATGTGTGTATGTGTTCATGTATGTGCGTTCATGGGTGTGTGCAGGCCACATTTCTGCTGAGGAGGGTGTCTAACTGAGCCCATTGCTCACAGACTGGCTACACTGCTGACTAGTGAGCATCCTGGTCCTCAGCGCTGGGGTTGTCAGACGGCTTTATACTCAGTTTTAAATACAATAGAATCCAAGCTTATGCCCTAATGCTTATTAGAAAGCAAATTTCTTCTTCTTCTTTCTTTCTTTTCTTTTTTTTACAAATCACTTCAAAACTAGCACTGGTAAAGGCCGACCAAGAAATGTTGGTTTCCCTGTGGGAAGCTACCATAAGCAGTGTCGCTCCCAGAGCCACACAGAAGAGGATGGGTCCTGCGAGATCTGTTTCATTCATGATGCTGCCATCTGCTGGCTTCATTGGGTTTAGCACCGTCAAGGTTTTCTGCCATATGTGATCAAAATTAATTCCAAGTTCTGCAAAAAGAAAATAGATAGTCTAAGGTACATATAGCAAACAAAGATATTATTTCAAGGTTAGTATATGTATTCTTTTGGATATTAAGGTGCAATATCATAAGATGATTGCTCTATTTTGCTCTCGTAGTCTAAAGTGTGAGGTAGTATACAGTGAGCAAATAATATGGAGGACATCCCCTATCAGTGGACTTGGGGAGGGGCATGGGAAGAGATGAGGGAGGGAGGGTAGAATTGGACGGGAACGAGAGAGGGGGCTATAGCTGGGATACAAAGTGAATAAAGTGTAATTAATAAAAATAAATTTAAAAATTAAAAAAAATAGTTTTAGAGAAAAAAAACACTGTTAAGGAAATTGTTATCGGGTTTTAGCTAGAATTTTAATTCCAGGTAAAAACATAAGAAGTGACATACGGTAAAAACCTATCATTGTAGCTAACAGAATAAAAGTGTCTCAGTTGCCCCTTCAGCACACACATTTTCAACTGCTAGCACTTCAGGAATCATGCAATATCACTCATGGCATAATTGTGCAATGACATTCAGCTTAGGTCTAGGGTTTTCCTTCAATTCTGCCTAATAAAACAATATTCTTGCTCTAACTCGATAAAACCTCCACAAAGAGGAAAGAGTAGGATGCTTTCTGCAGAGAGCAGTAACCATGATGTTCATGCAGATGTGTATAAGTCAATGCACTGAGACGGAATCAATATACTCAAAGATTAAATACAAAGGACAGGTTAATCTTTTCCTTTTGTAAGTGAGAGTATTAGAATAAAATTGTTTCACTACAGCAAGTACTGATTGATTGCTCAAGGTTTACTGGCTTCTCAAGATCTACAAATATTGGTCTCACACACATGATAAAAGTAGTGTTGACTTAAAAAATGGGGAACAGAGCTAAACAGAGAATTCTCGAAAGAGGAA